CCAGCTCAGATTTTCACACAGATCTCACACCCTCTGGGCCTTGGAAGCAGGGCATTTCAGTGAGTTGCAGAACAGCACACACATTCCACATCATCAGCTCCAGTTTTCTTGAAAAAATCCATGTGTTTCGCATCAGCATCTGCTGTGGAGGTCTGCTTTCCCCTCAGTCGGGGTCCTTTGGAGAGGATTTAAGACCCTCCCTGTGCAACCTGTAGCTGGTCCTTGGCAACATCCATAGCTACCTTCTCTGGCCTGCCTCCACACAAAACCCTCCTCTTGGCTTCAACCCTGAAGCTACTAACCGGCAGACTACCTGCCTTTGAGATTCTCCAAGCAGAAACTGGTCATCCACCCTCTGTGCAGGGACAAACATAAGGACACTTAACACCTGGTGACTTTCATTAGGCCTAAAGTGAGAGACAAATGCCTGCTTCCACCCTGTGGACCCAGGACTCACAGCACAAGCCACATGGTCACTTCAAGATCCTTCCCCAGGAAAGTAATGAGATCGTTGCCGAGTGAAGAGAGAAGCGCTGTGAGGGAGCTGAAGGGCGTCTGCCACCTGACATTGCGAGTGTCCCTTCAGGGTGGGCCTTCACTGGTGCCCCAAGTCTCAGGAGAGTGACCACTGCAGATTACCTCCAGCTTCCAGCAAATCTTTGCCTGACTGTATCTCCTCTGTTTATATGTTTTTTATTTGCTCCGTTTAAATGCACTTCACTCAAGAGAGAGGGAATTCATTGTTTTAACAATAAAGTTTCAATTTTGCTTCTCAATTTGAAAATCAAGTTTCCTCAATATCTTTACACCATGTAAGTGAGGAATAAAGAGCCAGCCTGTGCATTTAATGTTTCCTCATGAAATGTCCTGAGGGCAGGAAACAATGCCTCTGACCTACAGGCTTAGGGCGTTTCCCTGCGCCACTTGGGGTCCAGCATTGCTTGGGTCCTACTGCTAATCCCTGTACTCTGGGACAAGCTCCCCTCCCTCCTGGGGCTTTTCCTTCAGGCAGCCTTCTCCAGATGCCCCTGAGCCCTGTGGGCAAAGATGGTACAGAAGGTGCCACTCAGGGAAGAGCCAGATACATGCTCTCTTTTCTGAAGAAAACACCCCTGAAAGGACCTTACTTGGGACCTGTTAGCAAAAAGACATAGAAGGAAACCCCAATGCAAGAAGAGGTGACTTCCCAGAAGGAGAGGGCCTTCTCCAAAAGTTTAGGGCTGGGGTGCAAATGTCAATAGAACACTGGGCCAGAGGCCTGGCTGTTACCGTCCCTCCTGCCCAGTGTGGGTTGCTGGAAGCTGTACTTCGGGGGTGACTGGGCTGCACCAACAGGAAGCCTGGGACACCTGCCTTCAGAGACTATGCCCCAGTGGTAGGTGCAAACAGAATCCTATCATAGGTGCCCACATTTGTTGCTCCCCTGAGGGGTGGCCTCAATTCAGTGTCCACTCTGGCAGAAGGAGCCACGAATATTGACAACCTGTGTGTGTGTCATTGGGAGTTCAAATCACAAAGGGGATCAGATTAAACTCTGCAGTGTGTCCTGAAGGGCTCCCAAGAGCAGGTCCCCAGATGCCACGAGGCCAGTTTTTGACTACAAGAACATGCTGGGAAGACTAAAGCAAGCAGTGCCCTGAGAAAGGGGCTGAAGCTTCTAGCCAGGGGTCACTGTGAGCAGATGAAACTGCCCCTGAGCCCTGTGGTGATGGCACACTGGAGGATGTGGCCCCTGCCCTTTCTCAGCCTAGGATGGGTGAGGATGAGGAGGTGACACAGATCCATTCAGAGAAGCTCATCTGAAACTGACCCTCAAAAACTGGGAGACAAGGACACATTTGTTCTTGTTTTAGCCACAAAGTGGGGACAACGTGTTTCTCGGCCCTCGAAGGTGAACACAGACCTTGGGAGAGAACAGGCTGCTGATGTCCACCCACAGATGCCCTGGAGCCTCTCACTTGTGAAAAGCACCCCAACCGGGCTGCCAAGGACCACCTTCCAGGAGCCCAATCCAAACTGACGGACCCAGGTCACGAACACACTCCCGCCCGTGAGCACAACCAGAAAACTCAGCAAAGAACCTGGAGCGGTAGGCCAGAAGTCCTCGGGTAGAAACATCTCTTCAAGTAGGCCTGGTAGAGAGCCAGAGAGAGGAGAGAGTGGTTTTGTGGACACCAGGATTTGTTTCCTGATGCAGAAGGAAAGGGTGTGTGTTGGGGCTTCCTTTGTCAGACCATGGGGTCCTGTGTGTAGAATGCCAATGGCATTGCTGCCTTGCATAACCTCTGTGAAAGGCAGATGCTGAGCAGCACTGTGGGAAGCAGCCTGTTTGTCAGCACGGCTATATCCTTTTGCTGATGGTGCCCTTCCTGGTCTCTCCTCAGGACTGTCACCTTAGGACAAATATAGACGAGTGAGGTAGCGCCTAGCAGACACTTGGGCTCTTGGGTGAACATGTGCTCTATATGTATGGAACCCCCGGACGGGTGATCTGTGGAATTGGGCCAACACTTAGAGGAGACAGCCCACTCCACTGCCTTCCTCCCACAGATCACCAGAGAAGCCAGGAGTAGGCACCTCAGCTACCACCGAGGAACATTGAAGGGCACAGATCTCAATCCACAAACCCAGCATTCACCCAATATTCAGTGAATTCCTACCTCAGGGCACAAGCCTGGGCCCCCAGGGACCCCAGTACAAGTAAAGTGTGGCCTCAGGGCATGCATCTTGAGCTGGGGAGGCAACTACTGAATTTCATTACTAGCATGCACAAACTCTGAGACAGATCAGTCCTTTGGACACAGAAGTCCCCTACTATGGGTCTGAGTTCAGGGTCATGGAGTGCCAAGTGCCTCTCTGTCTCTGCATCCTCTCCTGCTGCAGAGCACAGGGCAGACTGCGTTAGGGTAGGGACTATGTGGAAAGACAGTGAAGCTCTACACTCATGGAGGGTGGTTCCTGGAGTGAACACCAAGGAGGACTCTTACAGCAAACTATGTTATAGTGCATTGGACTATTTGGCGGTGCAGCTAGATAAAATGAAATTCCAATCATTAAGACTTAATAGATAAATGACTGTGGTCCTAGGTGGCTTCCCACTTTGCTTTACCTTAGCTCTGCATCATAAAAGAGAGTCCTTTTTAATGAAGACTACTTTTCATTATAACTCCCACGTTCACTGTTAAGACAAAAATTGAGAGATGACGACATAAAACTGGCCTTCAAAATCCCAAAGTTAGGGTAGAGATGGAGGCCACGAAGGAATGGAAGTCTCTTCTCTACACAACCCGGAGCTCCAGACTGTGCCCAGGCAAGGTCAGGCTCATAAGGATGGAAATTCATTCCATGAGTTATCTTTGTGTCCACTGTTAAGGCATTGCTGTGTTTTATTCTGAGTAAATAATGTATTAACTCCCATTCCTACCTACAGAAGGTAGATGTGTCACTGAACACACATAGAAATGGGGTCAGGATTGAAGACAGGCTAGAGGAAAAGTTAGGGCATTCTACTAGAAAAGTAGGTCTTGCCTTTGTCACAGCCAACCATAGGTGTTCAATCCAGGAACCACCCTCCATGAGAGTAGAGCTTCACTGTCTTTCCACATAGTCCCTACCCTAACTCAGTCTGCCCTGTGCTCTGCAGCAGGAGAAGATGTAGAGACAGGTCTGGTTAGCTCGCCTCTGCATCAAGAGACACCCAGACCACGTGCCGAGAACCCTCCACCCACATCAGCCAAAGAGCCAACAGTTCCCCACTCCTAGTGTCAAGGATGTGGTGTGACAACGACAAGCCTCCCACCCCACACCGCAGCGCTGGCCTGACAACATGTCTATTCCCCTTTCTCCACACCTCGGCCATTGATTCAGAGATTCCTCGTGTCAGCACCACTTCCTTGTTCTGCTTCCCTCTCTCTCACACCCAAGATGTTAGGGTATTCTGCCCACCATAGCTCCTGCGCATGGCTACCCTCCACAGCAAGAAGGAGGAGGAGGACTGTGCCATCCCTATGAGTGCCGTATCTGCTCAGGACAAAATACTTCTCGGAATTCCACTGACAGTCCACTGAGCTGTCCCTGAGCCACAGGCCACCCCACTGCAGGGGCTGGGGAGACACAGTGTCTGGCTTCCATTCTCACAGGTAGAGGGAGGAGCACATGAAATCAAGGGGCTGGGACTGGGCATCCATGCCAGCCACAAAACATCAAGCCTCATGCAGCATTCAAACCCTCCTGTTCCTAACCACCTCATGACTCCAAGGGAAATGAATCTTAATAAACCAGCACCTCGGGGAGCAATTGAGTGACCAGAAATATAGGAAACAGCCCTCTATCAAATTCATTTACTGATGGGTTAATTTACCAGCTTGAAAGATGGCAGGGGAGAGACAGGAAAGCAGACTTAGCAGACGTCCATGGCCACCAGCTGAAAAGCAGTCTCTAACAGCCTGCAATGATTTGACTCTTTCACATCACAGTTTCCTCTCTGGGAAATGAGAACTGTAACTTCCTTCCCCACATCATAGTAGGTGTATTTAAGCTACTATATTGTAGTTATATGAGGTAAGTGTGAACATAGAAAATTGTCATTCAAATGATGGAAACGTCATTCATGGCTAGACTGGGTGGCAGTGAAGGTATAATATCGACCTCACACCTCACATAGCATCCAAGCCACAGGGCCATGATGGTGGTGCTCAGCTGTGGATGGTGTGGTCATGGGTATTAACTGGGCCATTCCATTCCTTTTTAAAACTTTGACTGCCTCGCAGTGTGGGAGATCAGTGATATGTGACCCCATTCCTTCTTTGGCAGTGGGAAAGCTGCTGCCCTCATAGCTGTGAGCAGGTGCATTTGCTCTTGGGGGGAGGGTTCACTCTGGAATCAGTAACATTCAAGGTCAAAGGGAACCAGGGCTGGGCCCTGAGCCCCACAGTCATGTCACTTGTGCTGACTCACTCACCTTGACTTTTTTTTTCTTCTCCCTCCTTCCAACTCCACAGACAAACAAAGCCGTGGCCAAGGGAGACTTCCACCAGGCCAGCACCAGCTCCAGGCGGGCCCTCTTCCTGGCTGTGCTCTCCATCACCATTGGAACTGGCATCTATGTGGGTGTGGCCGTGGCCCTCATTGCCTACCTCTCCAAGAACAACCACCTATGAGCTTCATCCAGGAGCATAGCTGAAGAACTGGGGCCATGTTTGCAGACACAGAGAAGGCAGGGCTGGCAAAGGGTGGACACAGAGGGAGACACACCTGTTTGATGCTGTACAGTAGAAGTTATTGCTGAACTACTCCATAAAGCCCTGGAATTTTCTTCCCTTGAATTTCTTTAGTTTTTCCCCTTGAATTTTATTTTCACAGCATTGTGTAGAGCACGAGATACCGTGGGCACTACAAACCCTTCCAAATGGAATTTCCAAAGATCTGAATGGGTTCTACTGGATCATAGACAGTTCTTATCTCGGCAGCTCCTGAGTGCCTGGAAGGTCATCGCATTAGCAATATACAAACAGTAACAAATGTGTTTTCTTATGGAATATGGTGCAAAAGGCTGAGAGCAGAGGACGTGTCACTATCCTGTCTGTGGACATGCTTGACTGCTCTGATACCTCCCCGTCTACCACCACCCTCTCTGCAGGAAGAAAATGGGGCTGAGCAGGGAGACAGACACAACTGCTGGTGGGCTTCCCCAGCCCTGTGAACGCAAACCCAGAGTTGTGTGGGATACATGCCCAGTTTGTGTTTCATTCCCTACATGCTATCCCCTGCCTAGGAATGCCGGGTCTCCTTCAGAATGTGCCGCGATCAGCAGCCACTGTGCAAAATATGCAATCTTGGGAACTTGTGATCTAGAGTAAGGGGGGGGGCAGATCACAGCCCCTCCCAAAGGCTCCTCCCATAAGGACCCCTGGCTTGCCCCAGCATTCTCATGATGGGGCCACCTTGGCACAGACACAAGGGGATGCTTCCCAGGCGCCTATGTTGACACTCACCTTGGCGATAAAGAATGACACTAGTGATCTTTAAAAAGAGATGAACTTTCTCTGTCAACTAAATGAATAGCTATTTTCTTGTCATTTTTTTTAAGTGCAGCTGTTGCTTCATGCTATTTAAGTTATCAGATGAATGCTGAGAAATAAGTAATCACAGACATTTTATTACCATTTCATTGCTGTTTGAAGAGTGTTCATTATTTAACAAAAATTATCTTTTTGGTTTTATTTATTTATTTTGCTTAAGACTTTGCTTTGATTAATGTTAATTCTTGAATTTGATTTACACTTGACTTTTTGCTCAAATAACTACAAAACCACCCAGGACTCAACTACTGAAATCTGGGTGGTGTCTCCTGAGATAGGAATCACCACACATGGACTGCTTAAATTCCCACCTTAGATGCTATCAGTAAATAATATTACACTCATACCCCAGGGGAGACAAAAGCCATTTCTCTAGAACAGTGTTACTACCCAGGACACTTTAAAAGCCCCTGCTGTCTACATATTGGGTCCAGATACCCTGCTGTGGGTCCTCAGTGTTGCAGCCAAGACTCCAGGGTAGCAGGAATCTAGAACCACTGCCTTCCCCACAAACACACCCACTGTACACACTTCTATTCTGAAAACTATTCACATTACATCACTAAAATATAATTTATACTAGCACAAGTAGCATTTCTCTCATGAGTGCTCTGATAATATACTCTAATAAGGATATATGGGAGAAGGCCAATGTCCCCGTAAGAGTCAGAGTGATTTGGAGGTGAAGAGCATGAATTGGGATCAAATAGACCTGATTTTGAATCCAGTGTACACTTTCAAGCTGTGTGACTCCAGGCAGGTGTTTCCTTTCTGGAAGAGGAGGATACGTGGGACCACTTCTTAAGTCAGCTGACGACTGTGAGCAGAGCCCAGCATCCCAACACCTGGCATGACTAGGTAGCCAGGAGACAGGTGGTCACTGTCACCCTCAGTGTCCTGATTAGCCCACCCCAAGTTTGTTTGTGGTGTCCCTTAACTTTTCAGCCTAATCTTTTAGCATCTCTTCATCATGAACCACTGTGTTCAATCGGCTTCTTTGTCCATTTTAGCTCAAGAGATGCCCCAAACTCCAAATCTTTGGAAGTAGTCAGGAAGTGGAGTCAGTCTTGTTTATTCTCCCCAGTCTTTACCCCAACCACCAGGGTCACTGCATGCCAGCCAGCCCTCTGTGCCCGGTAGTATGCCTTCTACTGGACCACATTCACACCTGTTCTGGTGGGAAAACCTCCATTTAAAGTATCTGACCTCTCTGGTTTGTGAAGCTCTGCTACATTTTCCACAGGGACCAGTGCCAAGACCACACACAATTCCATTTGGTGCTGACAGTCATGTGTGTGCTTGAGGCTCAGGGCCAGACCTATCAGGTGACCAGGTGTGTGTTTCCCCCAAAGCTCACTTACTAGGCTGGCACATTGAAGTCTAATCCACCACCAGTCTGGCCCAGGTGGAGGGGGTGGTTGATGTTGTCCTCGCTGGATCTGTGAGTGACCGCTGAGCACACAGCAGTCTTCTCTTGTGGCAAGATGCCAGATGCCTCCCTGGACCTACCTTGTCCTAGTTATCATTACAGCCACCACAAGCAAACCACCATCCCGGGGGACCTGCACTGGGCTCATGTTACCTTATATAATCCCAATAACTCCAGCAGGAAGGTATCAGAGGTGACACCCTTCTCTGAGGGTCAGAGAAGGTAATTTGCCCAGCAGCCCAGCAGTGGCACCTGTAGAAAGAAGAACAGAGGGACTAGCCCAGCACCTGCCAGGCCACAAAGCACTCCTGGCAATACTTGCTCCCTCAGCCCTCATTATGGGCAAGGCTTTCATTCTGCACCAGCTCATTTTAAGTTACAGCAGCTATTTTACTGACAGAAAACCAGGAGTAATAGATTTTCCCAAAGTTAAGTTCCCAGGAAACAGCAAAGCCAAGTTGTAACTACACCTTCAGCTCCTAATCCTGTTGGTTTCCCGTTGGTTTATTGTACAAAACAATAAAAAAATGTGCCAGGACCCAGCACACATTGATGGTAGGTCAAGACTCAGGGACCTGAGAGGTACTTTGGTTTATATTTCACAACACCTCTGTCAGCAGGTGGAGGGAGCCACATGGGGAGAAGGATGAAAAGCTGAGGCAATGTCCATGGAAAATGACATCTTGGCAAAGGCAGCTAGTCCATGTATCAGTCCCCTACACAGTGGCCTCCCTCCTGCATCTTTGGAGATGCCCACAGCCTACTGCCTCCATTTCCCCTAAAAGCCCCCCATCACTGCTTCACTAAGAGGCCTGGCTTCAGTGGGTCCTTGCTCACTGGGTGTCCCCACTTTCCTGGATTCCCCCACATCACCAGGTACCCCTGCTTTACCAGGTATCCCCATTGGAACAGGTACTCCAACTGTCACTAGGGAATGGCAATGAGTCCCAAGGTGAACATGGTTTAAGAGGCCACCTCGGTCACTGTACCATTGGCATCTGCCCAAGTTGCCACCATCGGGCCACACAGCTAACTGGGATCAAGCCCCTGACAACAGGGCCAGCCTGTGCAAAAGCAGGAGCCGGGTTTCTTCACACCTGGCCTGTCACCTGACCTCTCAAAGGTCAGACACCAACAACTTCTACCACTCCCCAGAGACAAATGCCCAGCAGTCACTCTAGCTGAGCCGATGGGCCAGTCAGCCGCCTCAGGTTTCCTGACCTGAGTTTCAGGGCCTCATCCCTGAGGCTTTATAGGGCCTCTCAGAGGTCCGTGTGGACTGGTTTAACCACCAGCCTTCATGAGGACAATTTTGTTTCTCCCCTACTCCCTGTTAAAGTCTTCTGCTTTTGTTGCCATGGGGTTGACACCTGTTGACCCAATTTGCTACTAAACCAAGTGTTAAGCATAGATGCAGACCCTGAACTCAGACTGCCCTCTGGGAATGCACAGCTGTCCATCTCCCATCTAGCGATCATGTTCATGTCTGCACGCTGCTGTTGACATGTTGGGATTGTCACAGGAGCTCAAAATGATAGGAGGCTCTCTCTGGGATTTCCCCACCCATGATCTGTTGAAAGCCCCTCTGTGGTCCTCAAAATGAGCTGAGCTTTGCAAGGAGGGAACCTCACTCCCCTGAGGTTCTCACTGAATATTCTGCTCAGCTTAGCAAAGCAACACTGCACCCTAAACCCACAGACACGTGAGCCTGCAGGCAAGCATGTAAATGGAGTAATGAACTTGTCACCTTGCTGAGCTGCACTGCAGGAAGCCAGAGTTCCCTGTGGGCGGAAGGAGTGCCAAGAGCTGCACAGCAGGGCTCCTGGGCTGCTGGCCTGGAGGAATTATTTTTGAAGTACAAAGTGCAGATTGACTGAGTCTCATTGTCAGAAAAGCCTTAAAGATTTGCCCAAATCCAGCAGGTCCAAAAGACAACAGGTAGAATCAGGAGGAACGACCAGGGAGATGGGCAGATGTGGGTACCCCTGAGGAGAAGCCCTGTACTGGAAACATTCCCAGGTATTCCAGACCTGGACAGCCTTGAGAACAGCCTGTGGTCCAAACGCCACCGCAGCTCTTCTGTCCCACCTAAATCAGCAACAACATGGTTACTGTCCTTGCCTTTGGGCCATGGCTCCTTACCACCACCATCTCAGTGCCCACCTTGCCCTTGCCAGTCCCCACCACATCACACTACTGTGGTGAAGCTGGCCTCCCAAGAAGGATCACTGTCCTGAGGCAAGCACTGCTGTCAGTCTCCTCTGCCCCCAAAGTTCTTTCCTCTACATTATGGTAAGCTTTGGGCTGCAGCTAACCAGGTCAGAGAGAAAGAGTCAGGTTTCTGATTTCAGCTTGCAGTCGTGTGCTCAGCTGACCAGCAGAGTGAAGGACTTCAAGGTGCTCTGCTAGGACCATTGAAATGCAAGAGGTCTGTCCACTTGGCCTCTGGGTCAAGGGATGGAGGGAAGGAGATGGATGAAGGATAATGGTCTGGGTTCTTGCTCTAATGAGGCCCTTTGAATGAAGGTGATAGAGAAATAAATGGATGATAGATTCATAGATAGATTAATTGATAGATAGTGAGATAGCTCTTATAATATCACATTTCCAGCTCCACATGCAGCTCTAATGTGACCTGAGTCTGTCTTAGGAATTAGTTGAAAAATAAACAGTGATTTGAGAATCACTGAATCCATACTTGCATTCAAGGTATTTTATTAAGTCAATCAAGACCTTTAGATAGCATAGTTTGGGGGGCAATTGGTATTCCAAATCAACTAATGTCTTTATTACCTGGACATGGGTCCAGCACACATTTTAAGTAACTCAGCCTGGGGTTAGGGCGGCAGATGTTTCAGAGAGCTCAGCCTGGACTGTAGGAGGACTCTCTTCTAGAAGGAGATCAAGGTGCTCCGACCTGATTCAGGCTACAGCTGTTCTGTGTTGTGAGACTTGCATTCAAGCCAGAGATCCTTGCTCTGCACCGTCACATCTGTAGCTCTCCCACAATGCTTCCTCCATCCCGAGTGCCTGCTTGTGCACCTCCTTATCCAATCAGCACATATTTTAAAATATATTTTTGCTATTTGACTAGGTCTATGAAGTAATCCTGGTAAGTGGAAAGAGGCTGCTAAGATTAGCTGTTGCTAAGGGGCTGAATCAGGTAAGGGCTGATGAAGAGCTTTAACATCTCCCTAACTTAGCACCCTAGACAGTTCTTCCACTCACTTGTCAAGAGCTCCTCTTCAATTAGCAAGCGAGATGGTCACTGCTCAGTGACAGTCAGGCCCGCTTGGGTAGTCCTCACCCTTCACTTCAGCCTCTGATGAGATTAAATGTGGAGGCCGGCACAGAGGAAGTTCCCTATTATTATTCCCAAATAGAAACCCAGCTGACGGAGCATCTAAACCAGCTCTCCATCTGGCACTTTTTGGACTCCCAAATGACAGGACTGTTTTTAAACTACACATACCTTGAGTTAGAAGAGCGCATTACAAACAGATCCAGCCTTTCTTTGGCAGTAGTCCTGGGCCACGTTGTCAAACCTCAATTTCAGTGAGAAAGCCAGGCTCAGGGGAGCCAGGGAGTGTCAGAACCTGACTCAGGCCCAGCCAGCCAGCACCGGGGCGCTCACCCTCCCAACCACACTGCAGGATTGGG